TAAAGCCTTTGTAAGTCGCAGTAATCTCAAAATACATGAAAGCACTCATACAGGAGTGAAACCCTATGTATGTAATCAATGTGGTAAAGCCTTTGCACATATCATTTATCTTCAAAGGCATGAAAGGAGTCATACTGGAGACAAATTATGAACGTATTCAATGTGACTTGCCTTTGCAAGTCACAAAAGCCTTCAAAAACATGAAAGGTGTCATACTGGAGAAAAACCCAATGAATGTAATTGATGCAGTAAAACTTTGCAGGTCATTGTAATTTTCACACATCAAAGAAATAATAGTGAAGAGAAAACCTATAAATATCAATGTGATAATGCCTCTTTATGTTACAGTCATTTTCAAAGGCACAACAGGGTTACTCTTGGAGAGAAACATCATGAATCTAGTAAATTAAGTAAAGTTTCACACACCACATACATTGTTCTCACTGAGCTGTCTCACTGGTGCTCAAGTAAAATTAGTAGAAGCATTCTATCAGTCAAATATTGTCTTTTTTTCAAATTGTAAACAAATTGTCATCCAAGGATAGAGGAGTACAGAATAATTGCTGTTATTGAATAATAAAACTTATTTGAAGTGTCAACTTCACTTCTTTACAAATGAAAATAGTATTTATCCTGCCATCCAGTGTTTTAATTGTGTTAGTTTATTCTAAGGGCTAAATGCTTGTTCCTAACACTTGCTCAGATACACTAATGAATGGCAGAGAATTGTCTCAGTGTGTGAAGGTTGTTGCTGCTAAGACTGATGACCTGAGTTCAGTCTCTGGGATATACACATTACTCATACCAGTTTTTCTCTGATTACTACACTTGGGCTGGGACATATGCACAGCACACACACACACACATCAATATTTTTGAAACTGAAATAAGAAATTAGTGAAATAACTCACCTGCTTAAGGCATTTGCTCCCAAACTTGACTACCTCAGTTTGATCTCTAGTAGTGACATAGTGGAAGTAGAGAATACACACTTGTAAGTTGTCTGTTGCCTGGCACATGCACAACATGGCACAAGTGTTTACATACTGGTAAAAGTTTCAATAGAGATGAAATTAACAAGCAAAGAAAATAACCAAAATATTGAGAACACAAATACATCGTAGCATTGCATGACATGTCACTGTTTAATAAAATAATGATAGTTTCTGTTTACATCTTACATTATTTGTCTCTGAGTAAAAGGTAGGTCATTTTATAAACATATTTGAACTGGGTGTAGTGGTGCATTTTGGAGACAGGCAAATGGATCTTGCTGAGTTTGAGGCTATCATGGTCCACATAATGAGATCCTGGATACTCATGGCCATATATTGAGATCCTGTCTCAAAAAACCCAAAAGAAAATTTAAGTAACTGTAACATATCACATTATAGAATTTTCCTAACTTAATCTGGCTTCATCTCTACTCAACTTAACCCTTCATTGTCTTCACTCACATCAAGAGAACTATATTAAGAATGACTATAAGAAGCAATGTGCAGAGTCCATTCTCAGAAATAAAGAAACCCATTTAGTCTTTCAATGACCATGTAGCAGGGATTTTCATTACCTCCAAGTAAAAGAAGATAGAAGGAGTCATGGGACATCTTCATCTTCTGAATTATAATGACCTATTTGGGCCATGAACAGTTGCCTCAGTACTTCTGGTATAAGATATTCAAGCACCTTTTTGTTTCCTAGCACCCACATCAGATGGCTCAGAACTACTTGTAATTCCAGTTCTAGGAGAGCTGATGCATTCATCTGGCTTCCTTGGGTAACAAATATGCAAATGGTGTAAAGATATAAACATTTTATATATTTTTATATATTGTAATTTTTTCAATTATAAAACTTGAAGAAAGTCCTTTTACAAATATGGAGTCATACACACACACACACACACACACACACACACACACACACACACATCTATGTATGTATAGTTCAGATACATCTGTGAGAGAAACTACATATTGTAAAAAGGTCCTTCATTTTTTTTCTTTTCTTTTTTTTTTTTTTACAAGTTTAAATAAAAATTTAACTTATGTATATTGTTGGAACATGGTCCTGGAACTGAATAATGTGAGATTTCTGAATGCTTGTGAGAATACTCCCAATAATAAAAGAAATGAGTCTTGTGACTTCAGTTCCCTCAAATCATAAAATTGTTCTTGAAACTGTTTTTGTGCTATCAAGTGTGGCAGATAAGAGTGAGTTTACTTCAGATTACTAATTATTGCTTGCTGTTATTCAATTAAGTGTTTAAACTATTTTTTATATGCCTGTATAGAAAAACATGTTTTCCATGTCTGGCTTGTCCTTATCATTGTATACAGCTGAAGTTATGAGAACCTTATGCATATGACCTTCTTAACCCTTAAATAGGGGGATGTCTTTTTGTATGCTGTGAAAATATGTTGCTCTGATTAATTGATCAATAAAGCTGTTTGGCCAATGGTGAGGCAGAATAGGATTAGGCTTGACATTCTAACTAGAGAGGAGGAAGGAGAAAGGCAGAACAGTCTTGCTGTCAGCCGCCGCCATGAGAAGCAAGATGTAAAGATACGGGCAAGCTACGAGCCATGTGGCAAAGTATAGATTTATAGAAATGGGTTAATGTAAAATGTAAGATATAGCTAGCGAGAAGTCTGAGCCAATAAGCCATACAGTTCATAATTAATAGAAGCCTCTGTGTGTTTACTTGGGTCTGAGCAGCTGCAAGACTGTGAGGACGTGGGAGCCAGCTGGGCACAGGAAAACTTTCAGTTACAAGTATGAAGTGTGTTGTCTATGGTGTGAGACTTTTGTCTGTCTCAATTATCAGCTCCATTCTTCCAGATCCCCTCTAGAATGGTGATGAGTTACACCTGATCAGGGGCCAGGTCAGCTGCAACAGAAGAGAGTGGGGATCCTCACAGAAGGAAGTGACAATAATGGGGCAGAAACCAGGGAAGACTTATTTTCTCAAGCTTGTGAATCATTTCTTTTAATGTGCATTGGAGTTTTGCCATGGGTGTCAGGTCCCCTGGAACTGGGGTTACAGTTGTGAGCTGCCACGTGGCTGTTGGGAATCAAACCTGGGTCCTCTGCAAGAGCAGTCAGTGGTCTTAACCACTGAGCCATCTTTCTAGCCCCTGACTTTGCCAAGCTTGTGCATCATTTTTTAAAGAAAAGAGCAGCACAAGCATCAAAACCATAGCTATGATTAAAACTTGCTTGCAAGTTGCTTATGATTATAATCCCTGGTTTCCAGAAGGAATTTTAGATGAAGTATGGGACAGAGTCAGAAATAATATTGAAAAAGAAATATGAACTAAGTGAAAAGCCTTCTTTCAGGCTTCTATTGTTCAATATGTATGATATCGTCTTAGTCACCCCCAAAGAGGAAGAGCTGCAGTCTATATATGACATGACTCAGGATATGCTACATAAAAAATGGGCTCATTATTACACTGATAATGTTGAAAAATTAGATAATGTTCAATATTTGGGACAACTGGTTACTAGAATGACTTAAACCACAAAAAATGTCCATAGACAATACAATTTAAAAACAGTTAACCTTCAGAAATTAGTGGTATTTAACTGGATACATCCTACTTTAGGAATGCCCAGTTATGCACTAACAATACTATTTAAAACCCTAAAAGGTTTTCTTGCACAGTGCTCCTCACATATTATCTGTGAGGCAAGAAAACAACTACAGCTATTTGAATCCAAAGTAGAAGAGGCATTTTTGTGTTAGGACTTTTGCTGCCTTTAAACTTACTTATTTTCCCCACTAACTTGTCTCCTATTGGTATTAGAGCACCAGAGGATAAACCTCTGTAATGGAAATATTTATACTATATTGGTCAGAAAATACTAAGTGCTCTCCTTACTCTTCTTGCTGTGTTATATTACCCCTAACAATCAGTGTTTAAGAGTGTTATACAGAGATCACTCCAGCCTCTAGGCTTTGGGCCCAGGGGCACAACCCTGCACCCCACAACACCACCCATTGCAGACCTAATCTCAGGCCAGCTGGCAGTTTTGCAGACAGGCCAGAGTACCCTCCCCCCCAATCTACCCACCCTCCAAGACCAGAGCTTCTCCCTGAGACAGAGCCTGCCAGTGTCAATTAGACTGAGGTGAATCTTTGTCCTCATAGACGATCACCACATCCTCTAGGCTTTGGGGTCAGGGGTACAACCCTGTGCCCCGACACCACCAACCATTGCAGACCTAGTGTTAGGCCAGCAGGCAGGTCTCCTGCAGGCAGCCTGGACTACCAACATTCCCCACCCCACCACCCAAACCCACTCACCCTCTCAGACTGCAGCTTCTCCCTGCCAGCTCCGATTAGACTAAGAGACCCAGTTTCAGGCCAGCAGGCAGTTCTCCTATAGGCAGGCTGGACTACCACCATGATGATAGAGGCCTTCAAAGAGGAAAGGAAAAATTTCCTTACAGAAATTGAAGAACAACTGTAGCTAGAGTTATCTCCAGTCCTGCCTGGGCCCGTAGCCACTCAGAACCAAATAAACACACACAGGTTAATATTTAAAACTGCTCGACCATTAGCTCAGGCCTACCAATGCCTAGCTGTTACATATAAACTCAGCCCATTTCTGTTAATCTATATGTGGCCACATGTTCCGTGGCTTTACCTGTGTGCCTGTTACTTGCTCCCTAGATGGTGGGATGGAGTCTCCTGACTCAGCCTTCCACTTCTCAGAATTCTCCTCTCTCTTTGTCCTGCCTATACTTCCTGTCTGGCTACTGGCCAATCAGCATTTTATTTATCAATCAGTTATAGCAACACATTCACAGGATGCAGATATCCACAGTAAACAACTAAGTGTATCAGGTTCTGCTGACTCCCTGTGTGAGGCCTTGCCTTGGAGGAAGTGGGAATGGGGGTTGGAATGGAAGGGAAGGCTGGGGGGTGAGAGGAGGGAGGGGAGGGAATCTTTGGTTGATATGTAAAATAAGCAGAAAATTT